ATATATATATAATAATATAAGTATATATATATATATAGTATATATATAGTATATATATATATATAACTATATATATACTATATATATATATATATATATATATATAGATATATATATATATATACATTGGCTTTCACATGCGCAACGGAAAGAGATTTCATATTCATTTCTAAACCGCTCTCGCATGAACATGAGCTTACACGTCCATCGTCCACAATTGAACCCTTACTATTACGAGTTAGGAACGTGACAGTTCGCATCAAATACAGCTTCGTTTGTTGTATATCTATGTTTATTTTATTCTTGGTTTACATTCACTTACTATTTTATATGAAACAATGTAAAATAGAGGGTTTACCTTGTGCCTATGGCTCACACTAAGTTGCAGGTACCAAGTTCAGGAATCTCAGAGAAACCCACGAGGACTAGTGTTCAATGCCCGAAATAGCCTTGTTGTTGGCTTGTGCGGATCGCTTTCGCGAAGTAAAGACATGCAACAAAATATGGACAAGACACAGTTTTTGAAGCGAATGGCATTCGACCTGTGACACAGCCACCATGTGAGCGGTTTTAATAACTGTTAGTCTGGATACAAGGCAATGTATTATATCAGTTCAATGATCGGTGCTTCTTTGTCGCACAGCTGTATAGAGTGCGTGATTTCCCCAGCACGCTTAATCAGTGTGACATGATGTGCTTCACGCTGAGATGGTTGTGCATATTGTCCTTGCCGCTCTATCGGCGGAGTAAGGTATTCGATAGTGATTGCAACGAATATTCAGGTTTCTGGTTTCTTGTTGCTATCCAAGGAACCAGGTGTTTGTTACAGTGGCAGCTTCGGGTGTAATGCATTCGGAGTGCTACACGGCTTTGCCCGTCGGTAGTAATATTGGTTTTCTTGCATTATCCACATATCGTTGAGAAACACTAAGTACTCGATCGACTTGGAGCAGACTGTGAAACGCTGAGGGTAGGTGAACAGGTACTGCTCACGACTCGGGTGAGGCTCGTTTTACACAAGTTGCCATCGCGCCTTCCAGGCTTCAGAGAGTTGCAAGTGCCTAAATTCAGTACTGAAATCCCCTTGTTCATGACTGTCTGCCGCAGTGGGAAGCTCAATCAGCACCGACACACTTACAGCTATACCCGCCTTTCGCAGGTGGAACCTCACTTCAATAGTAAAATACGTACGTATATATCCATGACCTGCCACAATTGCAAGCTCGAATCAGTACTTGAACGCCTACATCCATGATCTTCTGCCGCGGTTGAAGGCTCAATTCAGTAGTATGCCATATCTATTCAGGACGGTCTCACACGATTATGGCCTCTCTGCCGGCCTCGGCCGTTTGCTTTATACTGCTCCAGCTCCCGCTCCTGCTCGTCATGCAGATCTCTTACGCGCATGCCATCGCTTTCCTCCAACAGCTCGTGTGTACTCCGTGCTCTATAGCTGGCGCCCACACCCGTCTCTTGGTCGAAGAACGACGCTGTGGGTGATACTGATGAGTAGCGTGCCATGCCTACTGAACTGCCTGCGGACGTCTGGTGTAGCGCGTAAGGGTTCTCGTCGTCATTAGACAGGAGGGACTTGCTGTCGCGGTCATCGATATGGCTGGAATACTTGGATGAGCCGCTCGCCCAAAGCGATAATACTTCGCGACTGGAGATGTTGTTCGTTTCTATCAGGCATAAGTGACAAAACAACGCTAACACCAGGTTTATGATGGCGTAGACAACGAGCGTCAACGGTCCAATGTACTGCTTGAGCACCAGGAACCCGAAGAGACACAAAAACTGGCCCACCCAGTTCGCTGTTGAAGGCAACGAAGAGAAACGGTCTATTAGTATAGATTGGGTAATAAAGCCGGGAAGGTACAGTACTAGAAACGCCCATAACCAATCAGAAAGACACTTTGCCAAAAAAAAATTATGCAACAGACATTACAATACAGGACTGCTTTGTGTGACCGAATAGCCGCACCAACGCCCACTTGATACGCATACAGATCAGTCCCGCCTGCGAATTCATGGAATCAAAAGCCAAAAATCCACGTATGCCGGATAGACTGGACTGCAAACTACTTACCACAGACGCATACACCCAGCATTTTCGCGCGTACGGCGAGCGGATACATCTCCACCGGTACAATCCATGTACCAGGCCCAGGCCCAATCGCATACGCCGCAACGAACCCGACAACTATAACTAGGTTGACAATTCGCCAGGGGTGCCGGAACCACACACCCATTGTGGAGGAGACACTCAGCATTAGGAACAGGATAAACATGGCCAAGTAGCCATACACCAGCAACGGCTTACGACCGACCCTGTCCAGAAGACATATGCTCACGCCCAGGGTTACCAGGAAGTTGACGCCACCGACTATCGCCTATAATTGAGAATAAGGGGGTACGCGTAAGATACTTGAGCGTAGGTCTATCTATGAATGAGCAACAGCATACGCATATGATACTCGTGTGTGTCTGCGTGATGAAGATACAGACGTATCTCTGGCTGATTGCGCATATACGGTGTCGTTTGATTGTAGCTTGGATAAGACCATATATGGATACGAGAGGTTTCTGTGATGCTCAGCTTGGGCGAAAACCAAAACACGCATGTTAGTGTGCAAATGTGTAATATTTGCGGATTCATCGACGGATAACGTATGAACATGCCGGCATATAGGCGTCATACTACTGATATAGCTGAGCAACATAGCGCAAGCCAATACGAGTGCTAAACCTCTGGTAGTGCCTAGACGTACCATCCAACTGGTACTGCATGTACCAACCAACATACGAGTATTCGTACCACTGCAATACCCTGACAACATATAGGAGTATCTTACTACGGATATCATATCAAAATACCAGGTCAGTATCCGGCCCCTGGATACTGGAAAACGAGAACAAGTCAACGCTGTAGACAATAATAGCGTTCATGCCCGACAACTGTTGGCCAAGATGCAGCGCAACCCCCGTCCACAGCAGCCTTCTGAGTGTCTTATCGCCCAGAATCTCCCGATACGACAGGTCCTGCAGGTTACGCTCGCTCTCAACCTCCGTGTGCATATCCTTCAACTCATCCTCCACCAAGTTGGTGCCTCTAAGCCGTTGTAGAGAACCTACCAGGCTCACCTCCACCCCGCGCGAGTACAGATAACGCGGCGACTCGGGGCAGAAGGAGAAGACTATGAGATGCAGCAAAGCGCACGACGACGACACACCCAGCAACACCGGCCATCTGGCCGCACTCCCCAGGACTACCTGCATGCTCAAGAGAGCGCTCACGACGATGCCCAGAGCAATGAACAGCTGATGCACGGCACTTAGCGCGCCGCGCACGTGCGCGGGGCTGATCTCGGCGCAGTACAATGGCACCACTGTGTGTGAACGCGATCGATATTCATGGCTTAGTTTATACTCGTCAAAATCTCAATTCGAGCCCCATTTCGAATGCTTTGCATTTTTCGGTGGGCTGTTGATGTGAGCTTTAGGCAGTGTCTTGCTTGGGAATATTGCATGGCTGTGAGCCATCGAGTTGATACAATAGCAGGTATTTAAAACGGGCTGTCGGTATTGATCGAACTATGAATATGGTTGTGCCAGTATTGGAATTGAGATACCTAAAGGTGAGCGATTCTTAGTGTGTGCAGAGTTGGCCTGAAGAATATAGATTGAATTTGACACTAGGCAGAAAGTCGATCAAGACAGAACAGATATGGTGTCATACAAAATACACACCAAGCCACAAAAAGCGCCTACATAGATCATTCCTGCTTGCTTACATTAAAACATACTAAAACACACTCTACTGAGAACATAACAACATGAGGCACGGAATACGTACACATACACTACACGAACCCATAGTAGTGTGCATCCATACACAATACGAAAGATATACATGCATATGCGCGGAATGCGGTACAATACAAAAAGTATTCCAATACACTTGTAAATATCCGGTTCAAATTATGACGCGTCTCATTATATTTCGAGCATCCATGATGAAAAATACACCAAACACACTGACATGCATATTCTACACACTATTTTGGGAACAACAAAGCTCAGCATTCGATTTATATTAGAATTATAGCCAAGCTGGCAAATAAACAATCATATAATTTTTAATAAATCGATACAAACCTTTCTGAGGAAAACATGAATATAATAATGTATGCCTATATTTAAGTATGTATGTGTATGTACGAGTATATGTGTATCTGTTTATATAGGTATGACAGTATCTAGCTATATAAGTACTTATTTATATGTATATATAAATATATACATGTGTGGGTNTGT